GTTAAAGGTTTTTCCTTTTTTTGCAGTAAAATTCATTACCATTATCACAAACAGATTTAAATGCAAGCAATGATGTATGTTTTTCGACATTTGTTCCATTTTCTGACATGCAATACAAAACTGCATCTCAAAACCACACACGGGTAAAAAGGTCAAACTCACTGACCTGCACAGACAGGAAGACAAGTTGTTGGGCAGAAAAATGTTGGGCATTTTATACTTTTCGAAAAAGCTCGAAATCCCATCAGAGAAACAGAGACAGGCAGTTCAGGACCAGTGTTGTGCCCCCCCCCCCCCCCCCAGTAAGAAGACAGCTGATGAATCAGGTGATATCACCTCTGTTCATCCCCTGTTGGTCATCTGTAGCACATTTTATGACCTCAAAACATCATTCAGAGATGAGATCTGGGAGCATTTCTATTGCATTCTAACTTTTGGATCACAGGAATAATCATGCGGTAGCTGCATGATGACTGCGGTTTTGTGGATTTTTCCATTTCCACTTCATTTTTCTGCCTTACACGTCTCTCAACCTCTCAGGCTGATGTAACCGATAGCACCGACATATTCCACATCCTTATCTGGATGAAGTCTAAGGTGACCATATGGAGGTGACGGCTGTGTGGGTCTGACCACAGCTTCCCCTGCTCTGTGTGGCACTCTCTGGACACCATAGGTGGTGGCGGGAGGCGGGCTGACTGTCTAGCCCCATTCATGCTGTCTAACAGGCTGGACATGTGGCACAGCATCTGTGTCCGGAGGACAGGCTCACACCAAATATTGACCTGGGACACAACCATACACACCCATGAAAGAGGGTGCAATATGTCACAATAGTACATAAATATGAAATATGAACCAGACCTGACTGAAAGGCTCTCAACAAGCCATGCTTATGCTTGGTTTGAACCATAATTATTCAGGAATTCTTCCATACCTTACCCTATTACTTAGCAGAAATGCAGGGGAGGATTACACACAGAGCAGTTAGTGGCTCTTGTATTGTGTGTTACAACAGTGCTGACTTTGGTATAGCTAAAACGACAAAACTAATTTGTCCAGTGAGGCTCTGAAGGCCAGAGGCTGTGTCACAATTTAACACAGCCACAAGCAAAATACATGGAATAGCAATTACTAAAGCCAGAATGGGACCCCGCGGTGTGAGTGTGTAGAGATACACACACACACACAGTCACAAATGAAACGTTGAATGTAAATGTCTGACGGAAGTCATAACTCTCTCAGTGGCCGCTGGGCAGCAGGGGTTGTGCAGCCAGCGGTCCTGTCAGAATAGTATGGCTGTGTGAACAGAGATAGCCACTGTGGTGTGGGAGTCACCACAGAAGGCCTGTGGGCTGACAACTGGAATTAGCCTCTGAAATGCTCCGTTACTTTTTCAAAATGGAAAGTGCTGAACAGGTCTGTTCCAAACACTATACATATATTTTTTGGGGGGGAAATCATTACTATAAGTTGAAAATAGCTGCAATCTATTTTGTCATTGTTTCATCCCCAAAAGACATTTTTCCATCTTAAATGAAGAATCACCCTAAAGGACTACTGTAGCTGGCAATAGCCGCTACAGACCAGCCGCCGCTGTGGCGTTATTATGAATCCTACCGATTTTCTTAGCAAGACCCGCCCCATGCAGCATTGAAGCTCTATGATTGACAGGCGTCCATGCTATCCGATTGCCGTCAGGATTGTTACATTATTTCAATAAGGAGTCTTATTGGAGAGGGAAATACGCTCACAGGAACAACAAGCTTGCTAACTGCTTACTGTCAGTTAGCAAGCTTGTTAGATCTCTAAGGGGGCACGCAGTTTATTCAAAAGCTATTTGTAACATCAACTCTTGTCTCATAAGGGTCTTCACTCCATTCTCCTCTGTGGAGCTGTAAATTGGATGGTGCAACATAGCCAATGAGCTACGATTGCTTCCTGCATTTTGGAGTCTCTGTCCCCTAAAAGGTCAGCACTGTCAAGACGTTGTGAAAAACTTGCACTGATTTGCTTTGAGCACCTGGGAGAATCATTGTCAATGCTGGTGTGAGCTAGGCCTTGAAATAGAATTTTACATTTTAGCTGCTCTAAAAATTCTGGACAGGAAAGGTCAAACACAGGCAACTGTCTCCCGGAGGTGGAGGTCAAAGCATCAGGACTTGAATTGATGATGCCGTCGGATGAGTGAAAATAATGTCAACAACAACAACAATCTGTTATTCTGAAATGTCTCTAACAAGAAACCACATTGGTCAGGACTCACCGTCCAAGACACAAGGGAGTGAGACAAGAGGGATGCATAACCAAAGTACCTGGACAAACGTCCAAAGCTGAGAGTCAATTGCCATCTTTTCTATCCCTGCTTCAGCAACACTATCAGCAGCCATTGGTTTTTCACTGGTATAATGAGCAGGTGGTGTCCTATTGTAGCACCGTTGAAAGAACAAAAGCACATTTACAATATGCAGTGCTGTGCGTGTGCCAAAATAAAGTGAGAGGAGGGGAGAAACAGATTGCTGAGAGAAAAAAGACAGAGGGGGGGAGAGAGACTAATGAAGGTTATGGAGAAGGAGAAAGTATGAAAAAGGAGAGGAGAAGACATGAGTCTGGAATGATAAAAGAGAGGAGTGGCGGAGGGATTGTTGAGGAGTCTCTCTGGATTTGTAGAATCCCCCTCAGCCTCGAGCTTCGGGACAAAGTCACACTGACACACTTACTGAGCTCCCTTTTCTTTTCTTTTCTTTCTTTCTCTCTTTCTTTTGCACTGGTAATGAGAACCGTAGGTGTTCGCTGACTGTCACATGCTGCAGAGCGCTTAACAGTGCGGGTTTGCTCACACACACACACAGACACACACAATATTCTTGGACGTCTGCCACAGCGCCAGGACACCTACAGTGTGATGCGGAAATAGGAGGAAACCAAGGGTCATTTTTATGTTCTCCACAAAAACACCATGCTTTATGATACAATCATGCATCTGCTATTATACTATGCCAAATGAATATTGCCTGAGCTTTGGCTTTTATATATATATAGGCTGTTAGATCTTTTCTTTTCTTTAAGATAAACCAGTGAATACATAGCCTACAGTATGCACGTGCGGTAGCGCACAGTCTCCATGTAATTCTTCCAAACTTAAAGGAGACAGTTTTGCTTGCTCTGGCTAAATCTGGTTGTATCTAACTTATGGCAAGAAAGTGAATGTGTTTCCCAAAATGTCAAACTATTCCTTCAAACAATATTATTACATAATATAATTTAATCAGCCACATCCTTTTTTATATGTCAAAACAATTACTTTTTTATTGCTCCCTGTGTTAACATATCTCTTTTTTTTCCCAGCTTACTCAATTCACCTCGGTGGTATGAAAGGAGCCTAACCTCCTCGGATTTCCTTTAACTAATAGGCTCATTTTCTTGCACTCCACCCAGGCAGACAACACAGACATCCACCACCATCTCATTAAAGCATTGAGGCATTCATTCAGAGAGCGTAATGAGCTCGAGACTGCAGCGCAGTAAGTAACGTTCATGAAAACAGCGTGGAGCAGCAATTGAGGTTATTGGGGTTGTGATAATGTATTTCTTACATTTTGCAAAGCCTATAACACAATCATCAACACTGACAACAGCCTTGCAGTCATTGGCCACAATAGGAGTTGATTTCCCACCAGTGTTGTAAATGCACACACTTTTTGACACGACTGCACACATTGGATGGCAGTTTGTGATATGATGCTGGTATGATTCACAAAACAAAACTGACTACCAACAGAACCGCTCGTTCTCATTACGCTGTATCCAGTTTCCGCGCTGTCTGTAACCGAGTAAGATACTAAATGATGAATGAATCCTTGCTGCTGGCCGCGTATTCGCCCATACTGTACATCAACAACAGAGAAGTACCAGAGCACGTGTTTCCCCACAGTAAGCTCAACACATATCGCTGCCGTAGAAAACATGCACCTGTTTATCTTCCTCTGGATTTGAATTTAGTTCACATTACCAGATGAAACCGTTTTCAAAAAGCAATCAGAGAGAATAAACCCGTAACATCATCTATTTCTAAAAGAATGGCACATTGGAGTTGTTTATCAGTAGATTCACACTTGCTGACACTTCATATCTAATCAACACATTCCAGCCAAGCCCAGTAGTACACGATGACAAGTTAAACATTCACTGTTTTACTCGCTATTATGACAATATGATCGTTTGTGGAGATAATACCGAGAGCTTCAGTCAAAAGATTTCGTCAATTGTTTTTCTGTCTATATCTGAGGGAAATTCTATGAATAAAAGTGCCAAATACCAGAGCCAATCTTTATTTATTTTTTTTTAAAGCATCAACATCGCAGAAACTTCATAGTATTTATACATGACAGCCGGGTTGAAAAGTGTCACATCAGGTCAGAAGAAACAAAAAAAACCTGTCCAGTTCTGACAGACAACAGAGAGGGAAACAGCAGAACACATTTGCTGGCTGTTCTTTGAACTGTATTGCTTCTAGACAGTCACAGGCAAGAGGAGATGTGATGAATTCCCCCGGAGCCAGCGCGAGAGAAAGAGCTGAACTTGTACTCGCATCTCCTGCTGCTGAGGAGAAATAACTAGCTCCACTCACTTTGAAGGAGAGGAATATACACACACACACACACACACACACACACACACACACACACACACACACTCAACAACACTGGCTCTCCGTCTGGCTGCTAGGAAGTAACTCATTTTTGTACATTTCTCTCATGTCCCTTTTCCATTTTTCTGCTCGTTTCCCCACTCAACCTGCCTAGTGCCTTTCTCAAAATGACTCTGACTTTGCTCAGTTCCTGCTGGTGATTCTGTCTCACTTTCATGCTCAATTCTCAAAATCCTCCCTGCAATGATCATCCTCATTGCCTCTGCTGTCCTTAAGCTCATCACGCTGATGATTCCCACTCATCAACCCCACCGAACCGCCTCCCTCTTTCCTTTTAAGACTCACTTACCTGTGCAATATCATACAGCAGTTTGTAGTGTTCTTCCCGTTTCTGCAAGGTGCACAAATTGCAGCCCATCCTAGTTGTCAGGGAAACCGTGCAGAGTGCCCGCTGGAGTGTGTGCCTTGTCTGCGGTGTGTGGGAGCTCCCCCTGGGGCGAAACACACTCGGGCTCCTCTTCCTTGGCTCCCCCACTCCTCTTTCTCATCCGTGTATCCTCAGAGATCCCCTCTGTTGCTCCAAGCGCAGGAAACTCTCTCTCTCTCTCTCTCTCTCTCTCTCTCTCTCTCTCTCTCTCTCTCTCTCTCTCTCTCACACACACACACACGCCCACTTGTGTCAGCTCGCTCCTTTAGTAGAGCTTGTGGCTGTAGTTCCTTTAGTGTGTGTGTGTGGGAGGGGGGGTGTATCAGTGGTAAGATGAGCAAAAGCACCTGGCTTCTCTTTCCCTATTGCTTGTCACTCCTTCTCTTGATTCTCCCTTGCATGCCTACATACACTCTCTTCTCCACCACCTCCTCTCCCAGTGTGAGCACACACTAGTACGCACACACACTTTTGGCTCATGGAGACACACCTCCTCCTGTGGCAGGCTGCCTACACATGCCTGCTCCTACTCCCGGCTCATGAATAGACGGCGTCCTCATTGGCTGTTTAAGGAAGAAGGGCTGGGAGAAGAGGGAGGGGACTTGTCTTATCTTGGACATGTTCAGTATCTGAACATCAGTGTTGTAGCTTGCAGGCGATGTGAAGGACGTGCTGTGTCTGTCTGTATTTGTATGGGCAAGAGTGCATCTGTTTGTTATCTGTGTGTACGCATTCCAGAAACATGCGAAATCCCTACATTTCAATGCAGGACGTTCAATAAAAAAAATAAAAAAACAGGATCCCTGCAGTTAATCAAGTTACTGAGACGGCTATTTGTCTGCGCCCACATTTGACAACTGGATGTGGCATGAAAAAAATCAATCTCATTTGAATTCAATCAGATGGCATTTTGCACTCAGTTGGAGTGTTGGAAGGGTGGTGTTTATTGTCCACCATAGATTTACAGTCAGAGAGTGATAGTCACCGAACAGATACTCCCTCTCTCTGCCGACAGTTAGGCAAGGGCACAGGATTAGGCTGACACACACAGGAAGAAACACAGGCCGGTATTGATTGGCTCAAATTAGCTTCCAGCCCAACTGGCCCCTCTCCACAGGGGTGGAAGGACAGAGGGGGAGTAAAGGAAAAGGGGAGAGAGGTGGATGGAAGACTCTGGGATGCTGTTAAGATAAACTGAGAGCACAGTGAAGGTATTACAACCATGTTACACTAGAAATGATAGCAATTTGATATGGTAAATGTGTTTTGACAGAAGTGCAATGCTGCCCACATTACCTTTAAATCAGCATAATGAGAAGTTGTCAATGACCATTTTTATGGTTATTTTGAAGAACTGGCAGCACTTGGTTAAAGTTAGGTCTTGGTCTAACATTGAAAAAGTGACTTGAATATTAGGACACATGGTGAAATTTGAATTTTTCACACTTTTTGATACTGCAGCTATTGTACATAATGTTATTAGGCACAATGGATGCCAATAGAGAGTCAATAAGGAGAATTTGTCATGGTGAACACAAAAAGGTTCAACAGAAACATGTTTTGATCAAACCCCATAAATAGAGGAGGTCAGGGTGGATGGATGGGTCCAGCACTTTCACCCAGGAGACCTGTGTTTGTGTACTTTTTTAAACCAGGCATACATAAGAGTAGACAGTTCTTTTAACCCAAACCATGGTCTGAATGTTAAATTGTGTTGGTCATAGCCATTTCACATATCTCTGTGAGATCCCATGGGACAAGCACTAATTCCCACTAGACGTTACATTTGGTTCATGTTATTACTCGCTATCTACCCGCTGAGTCAAGTACCCGAGTCAAACTGCAGGATATGCTGGTTTCTTTTAAAAAACACATGATACGAACCCTGGTCATTAGTGTCAAAGTCTCATACTTCGTACGCCCACCATCTACCTAAATGCCTGGATTTGACTTGCTTCCTGTATAACGAGTTGCAAATGATTCTAATCGAGGCAGCAATTATGTTTCCCCTGAAAACCTAATTTCTATGAGACAATGATGAATATTAATACACTCATGCAGTATAAATTAACATATAGAAGTCTATAATTTGTTCCCCTGGACATGCAAATATCTTGTTTGTGTTCTGTCTCAAACAACAAGATATTTGTTTGTGTTGTGTGTGTGTGTGTGTGTGTGTGTGTGTGTGTGTGTGTGTGTGTGTGTGTGTGTGTGT